ACTAGCTTTTGGATTCTTAATCTACCAAGTGTTCAGATTTCATTGCTAATTAACTGGAATTAAGTATTAGAGATTTTCTTTGTTGTTGTAGGGTTGAATGATTATAGGGATAATTATTGAATATTTCATTATCCATCCTGTACATAATCCACTTAACACAAACTAAATTGCATCCAGACTGCACTACAAGAGCAAGTCTTAGTGCTTGTGAAGAGCATAGAACAGATAGCTTTGGAAACAAAATGTGCATAGGAAGTAGCAGTGCATGATTGCCAAGACTGTCCCGCCGGTGTCCTAAATTCTGTCCTGACAGCGTGGAAGCCACTGAGTCTTTTCATTGACTTCAGTGGGCTTTGGATTGGATCCCTTGGCTGGATCTGAAATATTTTAGAATTGAGGAGTTTTATTAGCCTGATCCAAAGCCCCTTTAAACAATGGAAAGACTCTTATTGGCTTCTCTTTATTTGAATCGGCTTTTTGCCATTACCAACAGGCATCAAAAGGATAGTTTCTCCATTCATTGTTATGGTAATTTCTGGGGGAAAGGGAGTAATATACTAGGCCTGATTCCAATATTTACATGGGTATAAATCCAGAGTAATGCCACTGAAGCCCATCTAGTTATACCAACATCAGTGAGATCAGGATCAGGCCCAGTGTGCTTATACCATCAGTTCAGTGGAGTTGTAGGGTGTATACACCCCTACCCTGATATAACGCGACCCAATATAACATGAATTCGGATATAACGAGATAAAGCAGTGCTCCAGGGGGGCGGGGCTGTACGCTCTGGCAGATCAAAGCAAGTTCAATATAACGCGGTTTCACCTATAATGCAGTAAGATTTTTTGGCTCCCGAGGACAGCGTTATATCGGGGTAGAGGTGTACTATATGTTCATATAGGATTATATAATTATCATTTCCCACAGTACATCTTAAAGTAATGTATGGGTTACAAAGTCTGAGATAGATGGATAGTTGTTAAAAATCACTTTGTTATTATGAGCAAATCCAAAAAAAAAAAATCTGACATACGCAATTCTCCACTCTACTTCCTTTCAATGATGTTCAAGCTTCAGAATAGCAGTGTCAGGTTTGAAGAGTACTTAGTCTAAAAATAAGATGAGTGATTGCAGTTTTAATCCAAATTGAACATCTGTTCACTGAAAATATTATTTGTAATGAATTGTACTTTTAATGATTTTTAAAAAAATGCACATAACATGTAAATAATTTTGCCCAAACACTTAAGTTGATTTCCAAATATTTGAAAATATTGGAAGGGTGAGAAGGTTAGTGAGTTAGAATAATATTGAAAATGAATTAAAAAAACAATATTTGGCATTTATATATATATTTATTTTTGTTGTGGATTTTAAAAGCACTTTACAAAGGGCGGGTAATATAATTATTCCCCTTTGACAGATGGGAAAAGTGAGGTGCAGGGAGTGGAGGGTCTCACAGCAGGTCAGGAAAACAACGGTTAACAGTATCCCTTTACAACAGGGTTCCCAAACTTTTGAAAGCTGAATCCCCCTTTCAGGGAAATGAAATCACGTCTGCTTCCCCACCTACCTCAGATAATTCTTAGCGTCTTTCCCCATTGTGGAAAATGTTAAGGTTGATCTACAATATGATACTTCCTCTCATGCTTTAATTAACAATGAAATAGTTAACAGTGCTCACCTTTAAAGTATCCCTCCTAGAATCTGAGTTAGCATCCACTGAAATGAATGGAGAAGTTTTCACCTCGGAGTAATTTTTCCAGGCTCTCTGCAAATTCAGGCAGCTTCTCTGCATCAGTTGAACTTCTTGTTTTGAAGATTTTCTTTGCAACCATAACAGATAGAAACTTACTTTTAAAAAATAAAATAAAAGCTGACGCTCTTGAGAACAACTAAGAGATCTGTCCAGACTCCCCTGCCCCTTACTGGGGGTACAGCCCACACTTCAGGAAACAATGCTGTATAGAATAGTCTTTTTTAGCAAAAGTCTGTATATTTAAAGTTGCGATTTTCTGGGTAACCTACCTGGTGTTTGGTATTTCAGTCCTGACAATCAAGATGATTCATATAACCAGTGTAGAGTGAAGGCACCATAGAGTCAAGGAGGCTCATAGAAATCCTGTCCCACTTGCAACAGGGACTCCAGAAGGGAAAATGGCCTGAAAGCCTTCTGATTGAAGTAATGGCTTTAATCCCAAGTGCCAGAGCAACAAAAAAGTAATTTCTTTGCAAAGTACAAAATAGAGGCCAGAAAGGTCACCAGACACCTTTTGAATAAATCAGAAAACAGGTACTCCCCCGCCAGAGTATGGGGAATAAAAGGCTGAGGAAAAGCAGTACAGAAGTTTCGGAGAGTCAGAGAGGGAGTTTCAAAGGGGAAGAGTGTGCCCAGCCAGAGCTCTTACCCTTGGCAAAATCCTGAGCCTGCTGCTAATACAAGACCATGCATAAGCACCAACTCCAGGGCTGGAACATCCATGGAAAAAAATAGTGGGTGCTCAGCATCCACCGGCAGCCCCGCAGACCAGCTCTTCTTTCTCCCCGCCCAGTGCCTCCCGCTCACCGGCTAGCCCCAGTCAGCTCCTCCCCCTCCGTCCCAATGCCTCCCACCTGCCGGCGGGCCCCAATCAGCTCCTCCACTCCCTCCCAGTGCCTCCCACCTGCTGTAGATCAGCTTTCAGCAGCGTGCAGGAGGCGCGGGGGGTGGAGGGGGAATGCTGGGGGGAAGGGGCGTAATGGGGTGAGAAGAGGCGGGGCAGGGGTGAAGCAGGAAGAGGCAGGGTGGAGGTGGGGCCTTGAGGGAATAGGTGGAGTGGGGGCAGGGCCTGGGGCAGGATGGGGGTTGAGTACCCCCAGGGAAATGAGGAAGCCGGCACCTATGAGACGACGTATGTTGCCTGAAGGACTACATGGAAAATGCCAGGGCAGAGACCAAGAGAGATGAGACACTTATGAGGACAGAAACACTGCCTGAATCAGCCCTCCTCAGAAACATCTCAGTTCCAGACTCCACCAAGGGCCAAGGAAACAGTAGTCTTGAGAAACTAGAATCACAGTAATGTAGGGCTGGAAAGGAACTCAAGAGGTCCAGTCCCCTGCACTGAGCCAGGATTAAGGACACCTAAACCATCTCTGACAGGTGTTTGTCTAACCTGTTCTTAAAAACCTCCAAGTGAGAAAGGCAAGCAGAATATGGTCCCTAGAGCCTAATTCTGCAGTTGCGATATGTGCATAAGGCTTATTGATTTCAATGAGAGTTACATGTGGGGAACAGTTACAGAGTTGGGCCTTGAAAACAAATGATGCAGCACAAATCCTGTACCCCTTTCTTTAATCGTCCTTTCTCCCCTGGTTATATCTTGGACAAACGTTCATAATCCCAAACCTCTGACAAGTCTGTTTCTAATCTTATTACTCAGAAACTTCCTCTACTGTAGGGTGACCAGATGTCCCAATTTTATAGGGACAGTCCCGATTTTTGGGTCTTTTTCTTAGATAGGCTCCTATTACCTGACAGAACAAGGAGCAATGGTCTCAAGTTGCAGTGGGGGAGGTCTAGGTTGGATATTAGGAAACACTATTTCACTAGGAGGGTGGTGAAGCACTGGAATGGGTTACCTAGGGAGATGGTGGAATCTCCGTCCTTGGAGGTTTTTAAGGCCCGGCTTGACAAAGCCCTGGCTGGGATGATTTAGTTGGGAATTGGTCCTGCTTTGAGCAGGGGGTTGGACTAGATGACCTCCTGAGGTCCCTTCCAACCCTGATATTCTATGATTCTATACCCCCACATCCCCTGTCCCGATTTTTCACACTTGCGGTCTGGTCACCCTACTCTACTGGGATCCCAAAAATAACTATAGAGGTTGCTCTGAAGCCCACTGACTGCAATAGGATTTGGATCAGGGCCATAAACTACATATTTCAATGCATTATAATTGAGACATTAACCCTCGAGGGACAGTGCTATAGCCACATTGTCTTTCCTCTGTAAGAAATATGTTAAGTAAATGTGGGAAAGAGAGTTGGGCCTCAGCTTGATCCAAATATTTGTTGATATGAAATATAGCGACGCAGGGCTGAATTTGTACTGAAAGAGGTACTGGGGCTCAAGCAACTTTTTTTTTCCTTTCATAATTGACGCATGAAGCCGGACACCAGAGGTGCCGGGGCTATGAACTGCCAAACCTAGAGGTGCTGGGGCTCAGCCCTGGCACAAATTAAGCACTGTAGTGATGACTTCCCAAGTCATGCTGCATAAAAATAAGCATTACTTTTGTTGGATGCAGTGTGATAATCGCTAGCCAGTTGACAAAAGGCCATGTTAATTACAAAATATACCCTAGTGCATGAAATCAAATCAAGGAATAGAGATCTGAATAATAAAATACCCCATTAAGACGATACATTTTGAATGTGCTAGGCTGCATTACACTACTGCAATCCAAACTTTAATGCAGCCAGTTTCATGTACATTTTGGTTCTCCAGAGCCCTGGTGGACAATGGATCTTAAACAATTAACCTTTTGTTCTCTTTTCTTAAACATTCTCTTCTTTCCTTTCCTCACACTTTCTGCTCCTCTGTGCCTTTTCTCTCTTTCTATTCTCTACATTTACTCAGTTTTATCATCCCCAATATACTTTTTATGTAATGACCCCCAGAGATGACTGAATGCTCTCATGTGTTTCCTCAAAGTCATGATCAAGTAGGAAACCCATGCTCCCTGGATCTACCTGGATTGATAACAGTAACACTTATTTTCAGATGCCATAAAGCAAACAAACAAACAAAAACAAAAAAATCCAATGATTCAGACTTGAAGTTCTTAGCCCTAGAATTTATTTTCTTCTAATAAAGAAGTTCTTAATCAAAGCGCCAGATTCTCAACTAGTATAAATCAACAATCTACACCAGCTAAGGATCAGGTCCAAAATCTTTTTACTCATTTATATTATATTCAAGTGCAGAAAGTACAATAAGGAGCACAAAAGTCCACTCATTTCAACTGCTTTATTCTTCTTTTGTAATTTGAGCTGTGCAAATCTTTACATAGCCTATGACCGGCCTTTTGGTATTTAAAAAAAACCACAAACCAAAACAGTTTAAAGCAGGTGAGATAGGAAGGATGTTCAGATTTTGAGGTGTGGCAAATACCTGGTGCACGCCTATTAACATGCACTCACCAAACTGAATGCAGGTGCCTTGAATGTTTATGCAGTGAACACATTTTCATAATTACACCCAAATCCTAATAAATCTCCACAGAACCACCATTGTGATAATAAGCCCCAAGAAGTTGCCCCAATATCATGCCAAAAATATTGCGGTAAGCAAAACAAAAGAAACAAAATCTCAGGAATCTCGCTCATATAACACCGTTACTCTGACTTGCAGCCACCACAGCAAATACATTCAGAGTTAAGGCTGAAACTGCATCTTTTACTAATCCTGTAAAAGCTGCATATGATATGAATCTGTACGGAATATATTGAGTGATTTTTCATAACATATGTTTCAAATATACAGGCACAACTAGGATGTCTAAGTCTGCTGTTTCTACTAAGACTCTGGGTCAGAGTCAGGGCCCCAGCTGATAATCTGTCAGGGAAGAAGACTGCAAAGGCAGAAAATTGCCACAGTCTCCCTTCCACTAGGGGAGATGTAAAGAGCCAGAATTTCCCCCAAATTGGATTGTGCTAACTGAGAAAGGGCAGCTCTGATTCAGTGCATACCCCCATTGCTGCTTTTGCCAGTGAGATTTATGGAGCCCTGATCATAACTGAAAGAACAGAAACCCAAGGAGAGTTGCTGGTGGTGACGTTGCCTGCCCTATATACCAGTAGGGTGCCCTGGTGCAGGGAGATGTAATTTACCTCTCCTGTGCCAGCACTAGTGAGTCTGGCCGCCTGAATTTCTCCTGCCTTTGTGGGTTTAAAACTCTTAAGATTACCTTAGCTTAATTTTTAGTGTGCTCTGATATACAAGGAAATAAACAAACAAACAGTAGGCCTGATTCTGAACTTCTTGATCCAGAAGCCAATGGGAGTTATACCTAAGCAATAAGTTCAGGATTTGACCCAGACAACAATCAAGTGGTTGGCTGTTCTTAGCACTACTGAACTATTAGTCAAACCAGTGGTCTCCCATGCAGGTCCTGTTCCATTCCAAACCACAGTTCCAGCACCATTCAAATCTGCATTGAGCTTGGGGACATTTCATGTGCATGCATCCACCTGCAAAAAAGCAAAGAAGACAGAACTGTCTTTGGGGCTTAGCAAACAATGTAAGGAGAATGTGTATAAGCCTGTTAACCCAGGGTCCTTGAAATTCATTTCTAAGTAGTAGATTATGCCCATTAAGTTCATCTATGGAGTAAGGGGTGGTGCAGAACTGCTGAATCCCTTCCTGGAGCGCTCCAATACCTGTCACTATACCCCTTTGTTGGATGTGGCTTGCTCCTCTCTGCAAGCTGGTCATGCTCCACAGGTTGGAGGAGTAAGGACTGCAGCTCTGCCTGACCCTTAAAGAGACTGTGCAAGGTATTGAGGAGGACAGAAGGATTCTTGTAACCTCCTCAACTAATCATGTAAGGACTAAGTGAAATCTGGTCCTTCGAAATAGCTCACAACTAGATGAGGAGCTGATAAGAGTGGATTAAAATTCAGTTCTTAACCGGAGTTTGGATTTAACAGCTGTGAAATTGCAAACAGAATACATCCAGATATCCAGATTTTAGTGATGAATTGATATTTATCTCAAAATGCCACTAGCAGTTAAAGCTGAATGGCATTCTTTATATCTGGAGGATTCTTTTAATCATGTTGGTATGTTTCCTATGTTTTTTGTTAAGTGTTTTGCATTCCCCTGTACTTTGAGTAACTTAATCTCCATGTCTCTGCCTTTAATCATGTTTTTTTTAAATGGCTATACATTAAAAGTAGCCAATGGTCATTAAAGCAATGCATGTCAAAGGGTACGTCTTCACTACCTGCCGTATCGGCAGGTAGCAATCGATTTATCTGGGATCGATATATCACATCTCGTTAAGACGCGATATATTGATCCCCGAACGTGCTCACCGTCGACTCTGGAACTCCACCAGAGCGAGCGGCGGTAGTGCAGTCGATGGGGGAGCTGCGGCCGTTGATCCCGCGCCGTGTGGACCCCAGGTAATTCGATCCAAGATACTTCGACTTCAGCTACGCAAGTAGCTGAAGTTGTGTATCTTGGATCAATCCCCCACCCCAGTGTAGACCAGCCCAAATGGTAACTATGTCAACTATAAAATGAAATCTCCTAACTCAAGCATAAATGTACAATCTAAACAAATGCTGAAAATAAAAGTCATGACAATATATCATGATCTCTTTCTTACACTGGAATTATACATAGATTAAACTCCAGATGGCTAATATAATCTCTTGTAAACACAGAAGAGCCAAAGACTATGCCAACTTTTGTATTTAGATGCCTATTGTGTAGATAAGGTATATTACCCTTACCGATGTGACACATTTTAGGACAAATTGGGTAATTAGGATGTCTACAGAGAACTGGATATTTTTATCCTTGTTTATATTTAATAGCAAAAAATTGTGAAAGTGAAATCAATTATATGAAAGAAATAGAATGAATTAAAGAATGCTGTATGTACCTTTAAGTAGAAATGAGAAATGCTGCAATCCAGACGTCAGGAAAGCAGACATTAACTGTTAATCGATTGCTCCAATTAAGGGTGATTGGTGAAGCATTAGCCTTAGATCGATAAGAGTTAATAAGGAAGCAGGAGATGCATATTGTGCCCCAGGCAAATTTTACAATTTTGCTCTCTCTGTCCCTTTGTTTAGTTCGCACCCTTTTATCTGTATAAATAAGACTGTTTGAATCTTGCATGGGGGCTCACATTATCTGAATGTATTAGCAGAGCGCTGTGCTAATAAAACAGAGTGGTCTGACAAACTAGGAGTCCTGAGTCTAACTCTGACAAACTGTACTAGTATTATTCTTTCAGGGAAACCTACAATTCTACAGGCTAATCACCTGCGAGTAGAGATGTACAAAGAATGGTTTCAGAGTAGCAGCCGTGTTAGTCTGTATCCGCAAAAAGAAGAACAGGAGTACTTGTGGCACCTTAGAGACTAACAAATTTATTAGAGCATAAGCTTTCGTGGACTACAGCCCACTTCTTCGGATG